TCAAGTCCATAATGGGTATAGCAGTGCCATAGCCTCTAATGAACCACAATGATTGACTATTGATATGGTCAAGAAACCGTTAGACAAAATTAAGATGAGCAAAACACCTGGACCGGATGGCTTACACCCACGTGTACTCAAGGAATTGAGCTGTATAATTTCAAAGTCATTGTGACTAATTTTTAGAGACTCTCTAATGACTGGCTTGGTACCAATGGATTGGCGCAAGGTCAATATGGTGCCTATATTATTTTAAAAGGGATCAAAGTCTTTACCAAGTAATTGCAGACCTGTAAGTTTTAACTTCAATAGTTGGGAAGATACTTGAACGTTTGATCAAGGATCACATGCAATTGTTTTTGCTTGAAAATAATATCATAAGCAATAGTCAGCACGGATTCACAAAAGACAGAAGTTGTCAAACAAATCTACTTTCTTTTTATGAGAAAGTGAGTAATAAGTTGGACAGAGAAATGGCTAGTATACTAGTCTAGTATACTTGGACTTTGCAAAAGCTTTTGACACAGTTCCCCACAGGTGGCTAATGTATAAGTTAAGATCAGTAGGTATAGAGTATTCATTATGCAATTGGATAGAAAACTGTCTTAAAGACCATATTCAGAGAGTGGTAATCAATGACTCATACTCTGAATGGTCCGAAGTTGTTAGTGGTGTCCCCCAGGGTTCAGTGTTTGACTCCTTACTGTTTAATCTATTTATAAATTATATAGAGTTGGGGACTAAAAGTACTATTTCTGTGTTTGCAGATGACACCAAGTTATGTAGTGGAATACAGTCCTTACAGGATGTCTCCAACTTACAAGTAGATCTGAATGTACTGTTTATTCGGGCATCTATTTGCAAATGAGGTTTAATGTTGATAAATGTAAAGTTATGCACCTGGGGACTAAAAACATGCATGCTTCATACACTCTAGGTGGAGTATGTTTTGGGGAGTCAATGATGGAGAAAGATCTTGGTGTACTGGTATACCATAGACTCAATAATAGCATGCACTGTCAAGCCACAGTTTCTAAAGCAAGAAAAATACTTTCTTGTATTAAAAGGGGTGTAGACTCAAGAGATAGACATAATCCTGCCCCTGTACAAGGCATTAGTAAGACCTCATCTGGAATATGCAGTTCAGTTTTCGGCACCAGTTCACAAAAAGGACATCTTGGAACTGGAGAAAGTGCAGAGAAGGGCAACTAAACTCATAAGAGGCATGGAGGTGCTCAGCTATGAGGAAAGAATAACTGACTTGAATTTGTTCTCTCTGGGGAAGAGACGATTAAGGAGGGACATGGGGCTTCTCGGCCTAATGGCTAAGATCAAGTGTAGTATCTGTTCTTATCAGTTGCCAGAGGGGAAAGGACATGGTCGCCTATGTAGAAAGGTGGACTGTGGCTTAGTACCCTCTGGTGTAATTGGTGGGTGTCGGATGGGGTACAGTCCTTCCCGGGTAGATTCTGGTCTGGTGATGCTGGACTTGTCCCCGGTGGTAGAGATGGATCCCGGATGGCACTACCTTCTGATGGGAATGGGTACGAAGCTTGGTCTGGCTGGAGGGTTGGGAGGCGGCAGAGCCCGCGTGGTGTTGTGCCCCCTGGGGGTGGCGTCCCAGGAGTGCTCAAAAAATCACTTGGGTGTGGGACCCCACATTGACTCACTGATGCACTTGGTCACACACCACCTTGCATATTCTGCACAACGCCTCCGGGACAGGCCTTATGGCTAGTTGCGCTCCAGCCCCTAAGGGCTGTCAGTGTGGTGCACTGGCACTTTAGTATCATTTATTGCACTTAATGCACGATTGGCTTTTTTTTTTAAGCGTTTTTTGACCCACAGATGCATCGGGTGCAGGTTCCTTCGGGGCCTTTTCCTGATGTGGGGAGGAGATTCTGTGCCCTTTTATATAGGGTTCTCTGTCTCCTCCCACCCTGGGGGTTTCTCTTCGGGAGATCCCCCACCTAGTACTGTGTGGGACCTTTTCCGGCAGGTCCCCAAAGGATCGGGGTCCACCGGCCTTCGGGTTGGTGGACCAACAGTCTCAACCCCTGTCAGGAGCCTTGCTCCCCGGGGGGTCGGGAATCGAGGTCCCTTCTTTATTCAAGGACCAAGCACCCTTGTGCACGTTTTTGTGTGCTGTGATTTCACGGCTCCCATATATATAATTTTTTTTTTTAATGTCCCCCGCCCCCTACATACACACATACAACGCAAACGCGCGTCGGATGCACCTACGTGCAAAAACAGTAATTGTGTAACACATGTTGCATATCGCTGCAAACGTTGCAGTAGAAGCAATAATTCTAGGGCCATTAATCACTGTTAACACTAAACCAATGAGCAGTAAAAGCATCGCCTATGGGAAATTTGGGGTATTGTAGTTTTTTGCAGTTTCACAGGCATACGCAATTTTAAGGCTTGACATGTTTGGTATCTATTTACCCAAAGTGACCCCATCATTTTATTTTTTACCAAAAAATTGGGTATTATGGGTATTATATTCTGTTTCTGTGCACTAAATTTCATTTTAGTGCATTTTATCCTAAAAATACTGGTTTGATAAACATTTACAACTTGCATTTTGTTTTATTCTACAGGGCCTCTGCGTTAAAAAAATATATACCGTATTTGCCGGCGTATAAGACGGGTTTTGAGACCTTAAAACATCCCCCGAAAATCGGGGGTCGTCTTATACGCCAGGTACATACGGAAGGATACGGTATACTGTATGTAGCTTTGGCTACATACAGTATACCGCGCTGAGCCAATCATGGCAGGCTTTGTATTAATGAATACAAAGCCTGTATTCATTATTACAAAGCCTGCTGTGATTGACTCAGCGGAAGACGGAGGACACAGCAGGGATCGTGGACAAGGTAAGAGACTGTAATCCCGAGTGTGGCTCGGGGTTAGCGCTTATGGTACTGAAAATTAACCCCGAGCCGCCGCCATGGATGTTAGTGGGTGCATTTAAACATTATTTTGGGCTATACTCGTCTTATACGACGAGTATAGCCCAAAACCTATATTTTAACACAAAAAGTAGGGGGTCGTTTTATACGGTAATTGTTGGGGGTTTTATGTTTTCTAGTCAAAAATTCAGATTTTTATCGTGTGTGCAAATAGTAAGAAATTGCTCTGGGCAGCAAGTGGTTAAATAAACCCAATAGATTTAGTTGACTAAATCTCCAGTAGATTTAGTCGACTAAAATTAAACTAAAACTATTCAGATGACTAAAATAGGACTAAAACTAAAATGGCATTATAGCCAAAAGACTAAAACTAAGACTAAACTGAAATTTGCAATCAAAATTAACACTGTCTCCAACCAGGTCCACAGGGTATTAGTGCACTGGAAGGAAGGATCTCATAAAGATCATCAGCGGGAGCTCAGAGAAGCACGTCGTCACACATGCCTGGAATGGCATTACCCCTGTCGAAATCACTCTAGCTTGAGCAGAAATTTCCAGCCATGTCCACCATTCACATACCAGGTGTAGATAATTGGCAGGCAGACTATCTTAGCCAACAGTGCCTGGACCCAAGGGAAAGTTCCCTACACCCGGAAGTGTTTCAGGACTTGTGCCACAGGTGGGGGGACTCTGAATGTTGACCTCCTGGCTTCCATATTCAACAAAAACTGGACAGGCTTTTCTCCAGATGCAGATATCCCATGGTGGAAGCACTGGATGCTTTGGTGAATTTGTGGGATCAGTGCAGCCTGATCTATGTCCTTTCCTTCTGTGAATTTCCTTCCCTACCTGCACGGCGGGATCAAGATGGAGATTGTGATTCTCATGCATCCAGATTGGCCCTGGTGGATGCAGTGCTCCAACCTGATTAGACTTCTGACAACCCCAAACACCCGCCCCACCCTCTCCCCGCTCCGCGCTCTTCTAGATGGACAGATCTCTCATCTCAAAGTACAATTTACTACCCTGCTTCACAGTTGCTGGCTTTAACAAAGAGGGTTTCACCTCAAGGGACAAATATCTGCCCTTGCAATCTTATTATAAAAACTGCTGGCCTTGAATTCTTTGATCAAGACTTTTGTGCAGGGTGTCTCTCATGTGACTCCTCTTGTACAACCTCCTGTGCCTCCAAAGGATCGACACATGGTTCTGTGGGCCCTTTAAAGACTGCCTTTTGAACATAATAGAGAAATTCTCCTTTCCACTCTCACTGGATCCTTGTTGCCATCACCATTGCAAGATGTGTCTGAGATTGCGGCATTGTCCTGTAAAGCCTTTTTGGTTTTGCACAAGGACAGGGTAGTATTGAGGCCTAGAGCTCCTTCCTTCCTATAATAGCCTTTCGCCTTAACCAGGGCATTGTTTTTCGATCTCTTTGTCTGGCTGATGATTAACAATAACATAGACCTCTCCGGTGTAAAATGCTGTGATTTTGAAATACTTACATTTGCAGAGCATTCACTTGCTGCTTTAAAAGGGCAAAATGACTTCATTTTGCCAATGCAATGCACACTGGGATTGCCTTGTCATCAGCACAGCATTGCTGGGCAATCTCATTTGCAATCTCACGAGATCTCAGGGGAAAGCATATTCCTCCCGAGATGATGTGTATGGTCACATGTGCCAAAGTTCCAGGAAGTAAATGGAGATCTAGTAATCTGCCCTTAGTAAACGTGGCCACTGTCAGAAGACTGGAGAGAAAAGAGATCAGGTATGCAAAGAATATAACGCTGGCAATTATTTAGAAATATCTGTTTGTAGATTGTCATTACTATACATTTCTAAAGGTGTGTGTGTGTGTGTGTGTGTGTGTGTGTGTTATTATTTTAAAGATATGTGTAAAGGTCCACTTTAAGTAAGCACCATAACACTATTCTGTGTCTGCAGTGGCCCCCAAGGGCTGCACAATAAGTGCCAAAGGCTTGCAGGTTGGCCTGGCTTGTACCAGGTAGATAAAGAATGTTATTGCATAGGAATCAAAACAAAGTGTATATTTAAGACCATTTCTTTATATTCTAGTTAACTGTTCAATACAATGGAATTGATGGGCATTTTGGAACCAGGTGATGCACCTAAAGAACTGATGTGGTAAGATAACCAGTTTTACTGTATTCCACATGCATGTTACAGCTTTGAAAGGGTTATTAGAGAACTTCCCATACAACAAGCCTCTGGGAGACCCTGCTACCTATCCATTAGCTAGAATACACAGTTATATCACTTAATTACTGTTGGATGATTAACACTAACAGATCGACGTCCAAATTTTTAGTGTTGAATTAGTTTTTTATTAGTTTTCCAACAGTTTTCAAATGGTCCAAAACAGTACTCAAACATTGTAATACATGACAATGTAAGACATGGGGTCAAGAGTATAACATTGTTGGGTCGGCACTGGCATCCTAAGGCCACTGTGCATATTGGCTTTTATCAACTTACATATCCCAAAATGATAAGGCACAGACATGGTGTGTAGGGCGTATGTCAAAAGGGATAGCCTTCTCGCATTATAGACTCGGTAATCTAGCGTGATTCTCGCCAACACCCCGTAATACCTTCTCCAAACGGACGTTTGAACATCAGGTTGTGTCAGGAAGAACATGTATAGAGAGGAAGACGGGTAGAGAAGAGCAGGGAAAGGAGGGTAGGTTGGGAGAGAGAAGATTGGGGGGGGACGGGTGGAAGTACTTCACATGGACCGAGTGTGTGTGCCCTGAGCCGAGTCTCCATGTAGAGCTAGGGTAGCATTTTAGAAGTAGGCTTGGAGGTAGGTGGAGGAAGAGAAGTGAATCCACACACTCCAAAGGGACATAAATTTAGGGAAGGTATTAGTGTCAGTCGCCAATAGCTCCTCCATGTGCATTATATCGTTGACTTGGCTAACCCATATGGAGAGTGGCGGTGTAGCAGAGGTTTTCCAGTATAAGGGAATTACTTGATGGGCTGCTGACGAGATATGTCTCAGAAGCATATTGGATCCTGGCAGGAGCGAGAGTAAAGCCACAGCTGGCGAAGGTGCTAATGTATCTCCATATAAGTGATTGTAGATCTCAAAGATTTTTTGCCAAAACGGGAAGATCAGGGGACATGTCCACCAAATATGCAAATACGTACCCCTTACCTCATTGCACCGCCAGCAGGTCTCTGGAGAAGAATGGAAGATTTGATGTAGGGAGACCGGGTCTCTGTACCATCTAGTAATGATTTTGTAGTTCTTTTCCTGGGCATATGAGGAGATAGATGATTTATGAGTGTAGTGATAAATGGTGGTCCAGTCTGAATCCGACAAGTCCCTGTCCAAATCAGCACACCATTTGGTCCGAGAACTCAACGGTATCTGATGAAGAACATCTCTCAACATCCCATAAATGACTGAGACTGTGTGGCGAACCCCCTCTTTGGAGACAAGTAAACTTTCAAAATCCGTCAGTGGTCTGTGAATTTGCCCCGAGGCATTAAGTGCCAAGCAAAAGCCGGACAGTTGTATGTCTAGTAGCCAGTTAGCTGGAGGGTCCGTTACGCCGGCTGCCAGCGGTACAAAACGGCGAGTAAGGGCATGCAGAAAGTCCCTGACTGTGGGCCAGTCATTTCTTTTGTAGCCCCCGACCAAGGAAATGGCAATCCCCGTGGGGAACAGTGAGTTGTCAAATAGAGGGGAGAGAGGACTAGGTATAGTGGTAAGAGAGGGGGCATTGGGAGTGTCGTGCCACGATTACAGAGTAGCACAAGTAAGAGGGGATGGACGAGATAGCACTGTAGATCTACCGGGCTCAGGTCCTGTTCAATCAGCGCAGGTTTTGGATGAGATGAGGGGGGTGGGAACCAATCTACGATCCTGGATAGGAGATATGGTATTTCTCAAAGTCGGGCAGGCCCACCCCCCCTGGGATTTGTGTCTGCATAGAACTTTATAGCGGATACGGGAATATCCCTTGTGCCACATAAAGCGAATCACCATGGATCGCAGGGTACGAAAGAAGTGCTTCGGGGGGCCTATAGGAATAGTTTGGAAGAGGTATAGTAGTTTTGGGAGGGTCTCCATCTTCAGGGTGTCAATTTTGCCAAACCATGACAACTTCATATTGTGGTACGACTCAAAGGCTAGGCGGAGGGACCCCAGGAGGGGTAAGTAGTTTAGTGGGAAAAGATCTGACAAGTTAGCTGTGACGGATATGCCTAAATAAGTGAGAGACTAGGTCTGCCATTGGAAGGGGAAATTGCTGCGTAAAAGGGTTACCGTTGAGGGCGGTAACGTAAGGTTCAGGGCAGTGGATTTGGCCATATTAGCTTTAAAATTACTGAGCCTGCCGAATCTGTCGAATGCCCTGAGGAGCGCTGGGATGCTGATATGGGGACGTGTGATGTACAGAAGCAGGTCTTCTGCGAACAAAGACATCTTATGGTGAAAGGATGTCGTGGGGATCCCGTGTATATCGGGGTTCTTTCGTATGGCTTGTGCCAAGTGTTCCATTACTATAACATAGAGAAGTGAGGAGAGAGGGCATCCCTGTCTAGTGCCGTTGGAAATAGCGAACGGTTTGGAGAACGAGCCGTTCACCATTACCCTCGCCGTGGCGGAGGAATATAGAGACATGATCCTGGCAATAGTAGTCGGCCCCATACCAATTTGGAGAAGAGTCTAGCGGAGGAACCTCCAGTCCACACGATCGAATGCCTTTTCCGCATCTATAGATAGTAGGCATGCTTTAGTGTGATGTTTTTTAATTGTGAGAGATCAGGTGAATCGTTTTAATGGTGTTCTCTCTAGCCTCTCTCCCTGGTATGAAGCCGACTTGTTCTGGGTTGATGATGGACGGCAAAGATGGGGAGATACGAAGCGCCAGGAGTTTGGAGAATAATTTGACATCGACGTTAAGTAGTGATATCGGTCTAAAGTTCTGACATAGGGAAGCGTCTTTACCAGGTTTGGGGATAACACAAATATTCGCCTCCAGCATAGTAGAGGGAAAAGGGTGCTTATCATCTATTGAGTTAAAGGTGCGTGTCAAAATCGGGGACACCAGATCAGAGAGCACCTTGTAGAACCGGGGAGAGTAGCCATCCGGGCCCGCGCATTTACCCGTCTTCAGGGTCCGGATAGCCACGTCTGCCTCAGATTGGGAAAAAGGAGACTCCAGTTCCAGTGCTCTATGGTCGGTAGTGCAGTTTGCGTAATGTAGTGCGTCAGAGAGTCGGGGTCATTTCCGGCTATCCTGTCTTGGGGCGGGGCAGGAAGGTTATATAAACCCGAGTAATATCTACGAAATTCACTTGCAATGCTCCGGGTGGAGTGAAGTTTAGAAGACTGACGGTCCAGGATAAAAGGGATAAAGGCCCGTGGGGGGCGGGGATGTAACGTTCTAGCCAGGTGACGTCCACATTTGCAAGCCCTGTCTCGTGCAATGCGTGAGCTGGAGTCTAAAATAGATAACAATTCCCGTCGGGCATTTGATAGTTCCACATAAGTGGTATCAAGCTGTGTAGATTTACAGGTGAAACTCGAATAATTAGAATATCGTGCAAAAGTAATTGCAGTAAGTGCTGCAAAAGGGGCCCAAACCAAGTACTGAGTACATATGCATACTTGTACTTTTCAGAGGTCCGATATTGTTCTATGTACAATCCTTGTTTTATTGATTGCATGTAATAATCTACTTTTTTGAGGTTTTGGATTTGGGGTTCTTGGGGTTTTCATGAGCTGTAAGCCATAATCATCACAATTATGACAAATCACGGCTTGAATTATCTTGCTTTGCATGTAATGAGTCTATCTCATATATTAATTTCACCTTTTAAGTTGCATTAGTGAAATAAATGAACTTTGCACGATATTCTAATTATTCGAGTTTCACCTGTATGTATACCCTCCAATGTCGCTATAGAAGTCAGGAGCTCAGTAATGTGGGTGGCTCTAGCTTCCTTGAGGCGAGACCCATGTTTTAAAAAAATGCCATGAACCACGCATTTAAGCGCTTCCCATTGGGTCAGCGGGTGAGTGTCACTGGCATGGCCTAACGTAAAATTCCGCACTGAAGCCGTTATCTCGTCTAAGCATAGGGGATCGTTTAACAGGTGATTGTGATTTAGTCGCCACGAGAAATGCGTGCGTCGAACACTGGGAACACCTAGAGTGAGAAAGACGGGGGCATGGTCAGACCAGATGCGGAGACCAATGTTGGCAGAAGGGGTCGAGTCAAGTAAATGTTGAGCAAGGAACAAATAATCTAGCCTACTGTAAGAGTTGTGGGCCGGAGAGAAATATGTATAATCTCTCTCAGATGCATGGAGGGCCCGCCACACATCCATCAGTCTGAGCTTATGTAATACATTTCTGATTTTAGTAAGGGATGCGTGAGAGAGATGGGACTTACCGGAAGAAGAGTCCAGACAGGGCACCAGTGCTAGGTTGAAGTCTCCTCCCAGGATCAGGTTAGGACATCCAAAATTCTCCAGAGCCGTGACTAGGCGTGCAAGGAAGGTCAGTTGGTCCTGGTTTGGAAAATAGACATTAGCCAGAGTATAGACATGATCATAAATTTTTACTTTCAGGAAGAGAAATCTACCGAGAGGGTCCGCTTGCTGTTGCAGGATCTCGGGGTGCAAGGACTTGTAAAAGGCAATAGAAACACCTTTGAACCGTGCGACAGAATTAGTGCTGTGATACCAATCAGGATAATATTTAGTTGGTATTCTGGGGATGGTATTACTTCGGAAGTGAGTTTCCTGCAAGAACAAGACCCCCACCTTGTGTTTATGAAAATACACCGTTCGCCCAGCGGATTTTCTTGATTTCTGCATCCACGCTGGTGGTGATACAAAGCCGGGCAGGGTCGGTTTAAGTGGCCAGTCCGGAAGCGAGACTTGAGGAGACTTTAAAAAAAATTTCTGTCCCTTTTTTTTTTTTTTTGTTTCTTTTAATATAAGACCTTAACTAATTATCTAAAAACTTAACTAAACTCACGCACCTTTTCAGACTGGGCTAGTGTAATGAGCGGTGTGCCTCAAGGATCTGTGCTGGGTCCGATACTGTTCAAGCTATTCATTAATGATATCGGGGAGGGAATAAATAGCCATGTTTCCGTGTTTGC